GCCGGTTCACACCAGATGGTCCAATATCGAACTGTTAGTGGTTTTCACTACACCTTTACTTAGCCACACTGGGAGATGTTGTCGAGCGAGCACGAAAAGTCAAGTTCCTAGAGCAACGGCCAATATAACTCGCTCCACCCCAAGCACATTTGAATTGGTAGATACAATTTGAAGTAGCTAGTCTAGGTACTTCATCCTTCAGTCGAGCAATCACCATCGGTAGTGTGGAAAATAAGACTTATAGTTCACCAGCATTAAAAGTTCTTTGGACTGATTTTCTTAACGTCTGCGTAATTATTCCACTTGGTATGTCATCCTTGAATTGTAGTCGTATATAAAGTGGCTTCTTGTTTACAGATAGTGAGTATTCCTTTTCAAAGTTCTTTGTCATGTTTTTCTTGATAAATTTGTCGGGATAGCCATTTTCGATCGAAGTATCATATACAATGCTTAATTCATCTTCAATTACTTCTTCTCAGCATATGGCTCTAACTCTGTGGCTGAGGGTCTTCATATTAGTTTGTTTACTAGATGTATCACACAACGAGTGAAACAGTATTACTTACTGGATGACGTTTTGAACAAAACCGTCGACTAAAAGATCCTGTGGAGCCTTTAAAAGAAAACAATTTACTTTATCTGATACCCTCCTGCAATGATTGTCAGGTCAAATACATGGGTCACAGTAGTAGAACAGGGGCAGTCAGTCAGACTACCAGAGCATAAAAACCTAGCAAAGTCTAGATTAGTTCATCCTAATAAGATAAGAAATCTAGAGAATAGTTCAGCTATAGCACTCACTACATGCAATTACACACAACCATACAATAGGATGATGGGATAAGATGACAATTTTAGAATCTAATGTCACAGGGTGGAGCTTTGTTTATCGAATCAACTGCAAACACGTGTAATATGAATGATTCAACACCTGTCCACCCAGACATCTGAAAAATTCTACTACTAATACGACAACAAATAGGAGAGAACAAAGAAAACTATAAAACTCAAGTTTCAAAGTCGTGTGATTACAATTGATATGATTATGAAGAATAAATTTTGTTCGTAACTGTGTCATCCAGTATTTAATACTGTTTCACTCACTATGTGATACATCTAATAAACAAACCAATACGAGTCCGAAATAGGACGAAATGCGCGTTATCCTGGATTCCACTGCTAGTCACCATACACAAATTAAATTCTAATTGATTCCCGAGACATCGTCGAATCATCTGCACAAGAAGCCAACAGACATGTCAACCTGAGACGAAGCACTTCGGTCCAATCAATCGACAGGAAAATCTAAAATTCAATTAAATAATTAATATGACCCGTTGCACAAGAGGTGGCTCTCGTGGCCACAAATTAATATGGAATTACTTACTACCACAGTGCCCCCCAGTTTTACACATACATTCATAAGCCTCTGATTTATTTAATACAGCACAGTTGTGCCGTCATATTGCATGTCAGCAACCATTCTGTAGAAAATACTAATGTATGCAGTTCATTCTAGTAACTCCACTACTAGTTAAGCCATCGAAACAAGCTTTATTGACATACACCCCCTTAAGAGAAGAATTTCAGCATCCTTGAGAAGAAGAATAGTAGTATTCTTCAGTCCCCTACTGGTCAGCAGAAGCCTTCAGGACAAGATCTCGCACCTGACCACTTCTATGTGCATAGATATAAGTTCACTTGTTGCTGTGCCTCCAGGTAGTATATATTGGTCATTCAACGCGTATGTTGTCTATATAAAAGGGTTCAAAAATAACACTATCCTGAATGGCTGTATAAGCAGTGTGATAATCAGACACCTCGTCAACACACTAATCATTCCATCTCAACAAACGCCTCCTCCTCGACCTTCTTCAAAATAATCTACACAAAGCGATGAATAACCGGACAAAGGCAATACGCTTTCGACTCTTTTATATTGATGAAGCCCTTAGGCATTCACTTAGAAAAACCAGAGTTATGCATGCCAAAGAAAATTATTCAACCACTTCTACTGTCACATGGTAACAACCTTGATTTGTCTTTAGTTTTTTTTTGGTTTTTTCAACTCTTTAAAAGTCTTGTATTTCTTTAGAACAGCTAAAGAGTAGAAAAAGGAATTCGCCGGAAAGAGCCTCTTCACTGAACAACTACATAGTTCTTCTTCTTCTGCTTTTCATTAATACACAGAAGTGTATTCTCACTCTTGGAGAGTAAGAAAGAGAATCATAGATATAATAACCCAGTTGCACGACAATCATCTCCACACTAAAAAAAGCGGAAATCCACAAGCAACTGATGATAAGGAAAATACCTATTTTTTCTACCTTACAGTATTGATTTCCTCTTATCAGTATGCTTTTTTTTCTAAAACAACACTAAAGACAAATTAACCATGAAATACGACAACAAATCGGTGAGATATACAACCAACCACCCGTTTCTACTTATGTGGTGAGAAATGGCTGCAAGCCAGATTGGTAGACAGTAATTTACGTCAATGCTAATGTCCCAAATATTAGTCATGTGAAAAAAAGAACAAAGACTGACAGCAGACTTTGCGTAGGCGGATACAATTAATTAGCAGATAGATGATCTGACATTCAACAAACAGCCACAAAGAGATGAAAGATTAACTTTTAGTGAGAAACAACCAATCAGAAGACTGTGTTTATCTGCTAACAATAATCTATAATAATGTACATGAAAGTCTATAAATATGTGTTGATTTCCTTAATAAACGCTCTGTTGCCTGAATCTTGCCTTTTGTCGTTACAATTGGTTTCGCTGCCGCCGAACAATAAAGATCCAATGGCCAACTGCGTTTGAAGAAGGAGACATACGGAGCTTCTTACGTGACTTCGAGGCCGTTGTTGAGTTGGTGCGTGTCAAGGACCAGGCGGCGAAGGCGGTTGTTCTGGGGACGCCGTTGAGAGGCCAAGTGAAGGCGGCATATGACAGTATATAGAGGTCAGATGGCACAGCGTCTTGGAAGACATTGGTTGAACGATTCGACAGCGCAACAGACAGACAGCTAGCATTGCAGCAGTCCCGTTCAAAGAAGCTGGGACCTGATGGAGACCCGTTAGTGTAGGCGGTGAAATTGACGAATCTACTTCGACGTGCGCTTCCCACTTTGGATGAAGAATCAGAAGCGCAGTTACTGTCTACCAATTTGACTAGCAGCCATCATGTCTCACCACACTTATATTTCTTACTGTTTCTCAACGACTTTTATAACAGGCACAAGTAAGACAACACGTCGCGTAAACCTGAAGTGTCTTCTTCTTCCTACAAATACTACAAATATTAGTGCAAATATCAGTCACAGTACAAATTTATCAGGTATTCTGAGGTATAGGCAATAATGTAAGCCAATCATGGTGTTTTGTCCATAGGATAATAAGCTGGTGAATATAATTATAATTAGCAGAGCAAGAAAGATATGTACGGATGACTTCTTACAGAAGGAATTTGAATATATTCACGAAATAAGCTATCCAAGTAGTTGCATAAAGAAACATATGGAAATATCGAAGAGAAAACCTGAGACTCTGGTTACACGTAAAAACCCTCTGTTTATTAAATTACAATTTAATGGTGACTTATCTAGTAAGACTTCGTTCCAGAGACTTTCCAGGAGTATACGGAAAACGTTTTACGCAGCATACCTATGTTTGTCATTCTCTAGCCGAAGAATGATAGGGACGCAAACGAAGGATAAGCGTGATAGTTTTGCCACATCTATGTGCATTTATCAATTCACCTGCACCTTCGGTGATAGTTATGTTGGACGTACCACTAGACAGCTTAGCCAACGTGTCACTATTGAACATCTCCCATCTTGGTGGTTTGGCAAAGGACAGACAAAAACAATCCGTAGCTCAATTTTGTCACATTTAATTCATAGTGGTCATTTAGTGGAGAAAACGAGGGCTTTCAAGGTAATTCATCTTATTCCACCGAATCTTTCCAACGGACTTCGTATTCGTCTACTGCACACAGCTGAGACAGGCGATAGGCATTCGAACTATTAAACCTAAACTATTCATTCAAAAGAAGTTCGTACAGCCTATTAAGACATAGCCAACTAATGACTTCTACACCACCCCTTGTTTATATTTTCAACCCCTTTTCTTATCATCCCTTAATCTTATCACATCTTCATTAAAAATGGGTTTCATTTACTTCCCTTACAATCTAGCATTACTCAATCGGTTCATTTGTTTTTACTAGCCTTTATCGACTTCTTCCACCTGAACATTTGTTTGTTTAATCATGTTGTTTTTCATTATTCGTGTTATCTCAGATTGACTCACTTTTTCATCCTTATCATTGATAAGACCATTATTAGTATGACTAATTGCACAATTTATATTCACCATCGTATTATCCTATAGACAAAACGCCATGATTGGTTTATATATGAATTTTATTTGTAAACATATAGATTAGAGTTAAGCCTGATGAGATCTAATTGAAAACGATATTGTTCACTTAAATGTGTTGTTCCAAATAATGTAAGCGTCTACTCCCGCAGTAGTACTGTAAACAACTAACAATACAACAAAAGTCAAATTCTAGTGAGAAGTCCTCATCAGTATGGGGTCCACCTCCAATCGGGAGTGAGGAGAAATACTCGCCACCGATCGATGACTTTGACTGGAAGTGGTAGTAGTAGTAGCATCAGAATTCATGGACTGGCCATTGAAGGAAGGGTCAGCTGGCCTTAAAAACCGAAACGTTCTGGCTGGGTTTGAACCATTTGAGGTGCGTGTACGAACTGCCGCCAATGAGTCCCAAACAAAACTAGGAGAAGGGAGGGAATAGCTACCCAGTACCCTCTGAATGTTTTCAACGCGCGCTATTCTCTAGCCGATATCAATCCGTGAATAAAAATTTGAGAAAGTCAAGTTACTTGAGCTAGCTATTTAACACACAGCCCACCCCGCACATCTACATACACTGAAAACAATCTATCTTATATACATAAAACATCTCAATACATCTCAAATTTATTCATTACTAAATCTCTGTGATCATTATTATTATTATTGTTATTATTATAAGTGACTTTGTGATCCATCATCCAGCGATTACAATGAAATGATAAATAGAAATAACTGGCAGCATTTGACAACTTCATTTTTCTTTCAAATTGTTTTATAATACACATTTTTATGCGAGAGAGAAAGGGGGGAGAAAAGAAAACAAAACTGAAGAAAATTTTTTTAAAAAGGAAAGAAAGATTAATAAAATTATAAAATGAAATAGTTAAATGAAAGTGAAGTGTACTAGAGTACAGTACACTCACTCTCTCTCTCTACACACACACACACTATGGAAAGAGGAGTAGTTAAAATGATTTGAGTGAATACTACTGTCAAGTAACATGGCCGAATGAATAAATAAATAAATAGGCAAAACTGTATGTATACACAGTCACAAACACAAGCTGTTTTCAATTCGGCCGCGCTTACACCCCAAATTTATTTTCATTGGAGGCAACAAAAGAAAAATACAAAAACGCATTGACGATTAGGTCGATGGTGGGGTGGTGAACGATAATAATAATAATAGGGCATCTATCTCTCTCTGCAAACACGACGAGGTGGTTGATGGTAGGTGTCTCCCCCTTTGTGTATGTGTATGTATATATAACAAGCATATACAAATCGAACTACCACCCCGCCACACGCACATACACACACACACATGCATGTAACGAGAGATTAATGATCACATCAGGGGAAAGAGAAACACAATCAATACAGTGTGTGAAATTTGAATTCAAAATTACTTGTACAAGTTGTCTGTCTAATTTTTTTTTCATTTGTGATCTAGATGAAAATATGAACACAGATCATTTCATGATGATGAAGATTATTGAGTGCAGTATGATAATTTCTACATGTATGTATATGTGTGTTTTGTGTGAGCTACTTCACCAGTCATGTACTTTGACTGGAATACCCAGACTTGGACACACACACTTGTCATAAAAACAAGGCATCTTGTAGTTACACAATAAGACAAAAAATAACCAAAAGAAGTTATGCAGATGTATCAATCGACATTACAAGATAAAATTTTTAACAATTTAACAACTCACATACACATAATGGTCCATTAACAGAATTCCAGGTAGAACTTCTCACAAAGTAGATTGAATTTTTTATGCACTGACTTTAGTGTGTGTGTGTGTGTGTGTGCAGAGGATACAAAGGATATGTAAATGTTTGTGCAAATATGTATATGAGACAAGAAATTTCTAAACTATTCTTTCTCTTTATAATAATAAATAACACATGAGTAAATGATCCCATTATAAAGGAGAAGAACTGATGAGAACACAACAGTGGTGAATAAGGTTTAACCAAAAAACAGAACTCTGACACACACACACACACACGGAGAGAGAGAAGGGGGGACAAAGTCAATTTCTTTTTTGATATATCATTATACTGGAGTGGGGGGTATATGGGTTAAAAAAAACACACAAAAACAAAAGAAATCAAAATTATTACAAGTTCTACAGTTAATTTTGTGCAAACAATCCCACCGACTTACTTACGTACGTAAGTCACCCCATATCGCGTGACATAATAATAATAATGGTCGAAAACACAACAAAATGGTAGTAGTTGTTGTAATAATAATAATTGAACAGGTATATATGCAAAAGATTGAAGCAGAAGGAATGAGAAAATAATGACAGTAATAATAATAATAATAGTAATAATAGTCACTGGGCACATTTACAATTGATTATCGCAACCACCTTTGGCTAGTCGATATTGAGCAATCTCTAGAATACCATTCAAATGTACTAAGGCAGCCAGTACAACAAATACATGGAAGATTTGATGACTTTGAAACTGAAAATTAAACAAAAACAATAATATTAATATTATTAATAATAACAGTAAAGTAAGTAGAAATAAAAAATAATATTTTGAAATTTTACGAGTTGATCACGGATTGATTGATATCAATTAGAGAACCAGTGAAAATCAGCCACGGGGAGTAGTGGACAGCTGCTGTCTCATCCTAGTTTTGGGAATCATCGACAGTACTCACGCACCGATAGGGTATGAACCAGACCTTCTGGTTACAAGGCAAGCTAGCTCGTATACCATTCAGCCACCACTGGGACCCGATTCAATAGCCAGTCAGCACATGAATTCTAACTTCTACCAATTCGTGATTTGTCAGTTAGTTTTTACGAGTTGATCACGGATTTATATCAACTATAGAAAATTAATCTGATGCTTGCTAGTGACTTGCTACAGGATAGAGTTTCTTGGAGTTCTAGTGAAAAGTCGTGACCAGTGAGGTCCATCCAGATGTCACATTACGACAATGGTTGGGGGTGCGCTAAATCACGAATTAGTAGAAGTTAGAATTCATGGACTGGCCATTGAATCGGGTCTCGGTAGTCGCTGAATGGTATACGAGCTTGCTGGCCTTGTAACCGGAAGGTCCTGGGTTCGAACCCTGGCAGTGGGTGAGTACTTCCGAAGATTCCCAAAACTAGGATGAAACAGCTGTCCAGTTCTCCCAGCTAGTCTACAATGGTTCTCCAACTGATATCAATCCGTGATCAACTTGTTGTTTTGCGAAAATAAAATCTCTGATATATTTCACCGTATAGTAAAGCACAAAATTCCCTTTTTATGCACTTTGTCATCAACCCAACGCTTATTTATCTAAGCGCTTTTTACACCTTATCAATATTTGAGCAACAAAGTATCAAGTAGCTCGATATATCCTTTTAACCTAACATAAAATGTATAAGCTATTTATCAAGTGTTGGTTTACAGAGTGGGATTTGATTGGTCACAGGTTTGGTCACGCGTGGGAAACCAGGGAGTAGTGGACAGTTGTTTCTACCGTCTTAGTTCGAGACTCTTATGGAGTTTGAACCCAACGCCTTCAAGTCACAAAGCTCATTATTCAGCCACTGAAACCCGACCTCTAATGGCTATCATACCAATTCCAACTTCTGACAATTCACAATGTCCATATGGTGCAACCTCCAGTCAGTGTGATAGGCGGATAACTGATCTCTTACCCGATTCAGTGGGGTCTAACAACAGGTGCCGATGGTCGAATGGTCTACGAGCTCGCCTTGAAACACAAAGGTCTCGGGTTCGATGAGTCAGAAACTGGGACGATGGAAACAGCTATCCGATACTTCCAGGTTTTCTCCAACAGTTCTCTCTAACTGATGTCAATTCGTGATCAAACCTGTAGCTAATCAAATCCCACTCTGTAAAACAACACTTGATAACTTATACATTATTGTCAATTTCGGCTTTAGTACCAGGTCCACTGACCTCAGTGATAAAAAGTACATCTGGTTAACACGCTGGGATCAATTCGCACGACCTACGATATAAATTGACTACTAAATTGACAATCAGTCAGTGTTTAGCAAAAAAGAAAGCTAAATAGTTCGATATACTTAGAAAGAAGGGTACAGTGCAACTCTACGCCCCAGTTCAAGTCTACCGGTTTTTTGGCTAAGCCACAAGCGACAGATACAGTAAACAAACTTACTCCAGTTGCAATATTTGAACTTTCTCTGTAAATAATACCAACTAGTGCGTCGGTGGCATAGCGGTTAGGACGCTCAACGACCATGCACATGGTCCGGGTTCGATCCCCGGCCGACTCACTCCTTAACCTCGCTAAGCCAGAAATAATGCTCGTAAAGAGGAAAGGTTGCGCATGAGGCTAGGAACCCCATCCTGTAAAAATAAACACTGCTACAGAAACTTCAAGCCACTAGCTTGAAGCCCTGGGGGCCGTGAAGGAAAAGAAACAACTTAGGACTAGATGGGAAAGGGGTAGATAGACCAATGAATAGCACTAGTCCATGAAGTCTTCAAATGCTAGTTAAGGGTAAAAACTTATTTTTTCCTGACTGTACCGAAACAGATTATAGGAAGCATATCTGTTCACAGAGATAATCACCCTCAAAATCACACCTGTTAGGCATTCTTCTTTCCCTCTAGCACCTGCTTTTACTCAGTGTAGTACCAATATTAACTTATTTACGACAAGATTCCATTGTCTACTGTCCAACGTGCTGAAAATCTGAAGTGCTTGAAGAGTGCTGCAGTAATTTAACGCTCATATCCCTCAACATCAATGTTTTCCCTCAACCAGCCTGTTTCTACCTTTACACACTTGCTTTATCACATTTTAGCTATCAATTTACTAAATTGATAAGTGAATATAAGAAAATCTAACATCCATAGGCTACAACAATTACTTTCAGTGAAAATATCTCAGTCGTAAAGTAATGATATAGTGAACTGCTCCGCCAAGCATACAACACTACTTGGTATTATTATTTCCTTTAATTCCTAGAGTAACTTAGGGCTTCAGCCCCCCGTCTCCATTGCGTTCGGTTCTCTGCTAAAGTTTTCACCTGGCTCCAAGTCTGCCCACATGCTTTCATCTCCTCTTCACATCACCCCCTCGTCCAAGTCACCCTTGGACGACCAACTCGCCGCTTCCCTTTAGGGTTCAACTCGAGCAATGGCTTGTCTAGTGATGTCACTCACTTGATGGTTTGTTTTTCAGAGCATGGCTAGCCAATCCACCTCCATTTCTTCCTGCCTATTTGTTGCACGATCGGTTCCTGCTGGGTTGGTTTGCTCCCGGAGATCCCTATTGCTGATCTTTTCTAGCCGACCATCTAATCTTGAGTAGTATTGAGAAAGACAGTTGTTAATGAAGATCTGTAGTTTGTTTGAGGTGCTTTTTATAACGCGCCAAGTCTCTGATCCGTATGCAGTAGCACTGACTGACTTCACATTACAGTCGAAAATCCGGATGTTATTTTTGATGCTGAGTGCTGTTGACCTCCACACAGACTTGAGAGTAGTGAAAGCTTGTCTTGCTTTCCCAATCCTCCTGCTTTGACATCGTCATCAGTTGGTCCGCCTGTAGTTGAAACGATGCTCCCCAGGTCGCAAGTAAAGGAGGTTTTTCCTTTCAAGTTCCTCCCATTTATGCTGATTGTTGTCTGTTGTTGTTGTTGACCAGGAATCTTCATCACCTCTGTTTTTACGGGGTGAGGACGCCCGCGTCGCGCCAACTTTCCCTCTTTTTACAGGGATTACTACCAGCTTAACGAGGTTTAGGTGTGTTGATCGGGGATCGAACGCCGGCCCATATACATGGGGTTGGAGAGAATTCTAGCCCCTCCCCCGCCCGAACCACGGATGCACTTTATGCATACAACACAGATCAATTAAATGTTGAGGAAGTATGATAATAAAGAGAGGGAGAGAGAGGGAAAGGCGAATTTCTACTTTGCCTCAAACCCCTTCTTAATACTCATGAAACAAATTAATAATATTTTCTCAAAAATATAGTAATTATGAGGCCTCCTGTCTCCAATCGATTTTCAAATGGTTCAAGTGATACAAAATGTTATGCTGTAAAACACACATAACAAAACCTTTATAATTATTACTAGACAGTCAACAGTGAGTGAAAACAACCAAATCTCTCTCTCTCTCTCCCTATTCATTCAGCAATCAATCAACAAAAACGTAGTGGTAAGCGCAAACGTCACACATACAAAAGAAGAAGAAAAAAAGTACTTCACTAAAACGATTTATCTTATGAAGCTGCGTAGGAAAACTTCACATCTTAAGTTATTCTTTTTTATCAATGTCCAAGTGTGTCCAAGAAAGAAAAAAACAAGCAGGCAAGCAAAGCAAATAAGTTTTTGACTTGTCTAGACGGATAAACTATAAAATCCACTGCTGCTGACGCTACTGATGCTGCTGGCTGACTGTTTTACGTCAAAGCTTGAAAACACTCAACTTAAACAAAACTGTTGGTCGATTTATTAATATCCGACAGAGGATGACTGCAGATGACTCTCTTCTGCTGTGATGACGACATAATAGTTGATGATATTTTGCTGACATTCAACAACTTTCATCCATCCTAACCTTAGCAAAAAAAAGGGAATCTGATCTCGGCATTTCTTTTCTTGATGTATTTCTAACAAGACGCAGTAACGTTGGATCTCTTAAAAGATCTACCCACTGCTGAAGGTGTACATAGGATAGACAAGTTACTAGTAAATTTCTATAGTTGGGTGTTTATTTCTAGGAAGAGGAATCTTCTTCATTGTAGTTCGCCACACTCCCTCTATGTAGCACACAAAGCAAGAGAAGAAAGTAGAAGAAATGCAAAATAGAGATAGTAGACAGAGATATGAGACAAGAGGAAGAGTAATAATGAAGAACAATATAGTTTGATTGGAAATTATAAGTCATAAGGAGTGGATGCATCAGGGCCAGCCATTGAGAGAACGATTTTGAGCCATATCGCCAATTTCTCCAGACTTCATTGGTTTTAACCGTCCCAAGGACCCCAACCAAGAATTTTACACCTCCCTAATTAGCTAGCTGGAACTATCTGTTGTGGATTTCATTGACTGGTGCCATGTTTAAATTTGACCACCACTAGCTCTTTTCCAGTCTGGCCCTATGTCAGCTAACACTGCCCGTCGGGGAAGGCGATTGATGGCTAGGCATACGTAACACATATCCTAACCATCTCAATCGATGATTTCCCCTCCTCACCTAGCACTCGATCAATGCCTAACCTCAGGATTGCTCACCTTGTTGTACAACTTCACATAAGAGATAGAACGCAAGCATCCATGATCAAAGACAGCTAATCTTTTCATGTCTTCCACTCTCAATGACCAGGTCTCCCAGCCATAAAAGAGGACGGAGCGGACTGGTGACCAGTACATCCACCCTTTGGTCGACAGCCAGTCGGATATCACGTCTACGCCAGAGACGGGGTAAACTGGCATATGCGAAACTAGCCTTCTGTATCCGTGCTGAGATTTCGCCAGCGATCAACCCATTGGGCCTGATGGTACTTCTCAAATAAGTGAAGTGGTCAACGCGCTCACTTCACTCCCTATTTCTAAACTAAGAGTCGGCGTACTCCAGTCCTGTAACATCATCTTGCATTGGCGGAAGCGAATCGCATGCCAAACATTCGTAGATTGCAACTCAAAGTGTTCAGAAGACTGCATTTTGTCAGCGTCTCGCCTAGAAGGACTATATCTTCTGCATATTCCAAGTCAACGAGATTATTCCCTGGTGGTAACAAGTCAATTTCTGAGTCGCTGAAGTGAGTTAGGGTTAAGTCCATTAGTACATCTATGATGAAATTGAATAGAAATGGGGATAATGGGCATCCCTGATGGACACCACTAGTCGTCACCAGTTCAGATGGCAACTCGTCGTAAGCCGTCACTTGGCTGCTTGAGTTCGAGTAGAGTGTAATGTATTTTCCCGGCATTCCCTTTACAGCCAAGCATCGCCAGAGTACCTCTCGGTCGACAGAATCGAATGCTGCCTTTAGGTCAAGAAACATAATGAATGTTGGACGCCGGTAGGAATGCCTATGTTCTAAAATCTGTCGAAGGGTGAAGATATGATCAATACACCCTCTTCCTGGTCTAAAGCCTGACTGGTTCTCTCGTGTTTGTTCCTCCCAAGCACCACTTAGTCTACGCAATATTAATGAGCCTAGGACTTTAGATACTGTATTAGTCAAACTAATCCCTCTGTGATTATCACAGGAAGTCAAGCGGGCTGAAAATGGTCGCCTAAACAGAAAACTCACTCAAAAGATAAACATTCTAATAAACTGGTAGCTAACTCTGTTCCAAAGAAAAGTATGTCTATTCATGAATCTGGAATTCAAGCGTAACCGATGAGGTTTCAAATATATGCTCAAAAAATGTCATTTCTATATCAATCAGTAAGACGGTATCAGCGGTAGAACTGCTACTGACTTTCATCAGGACAAAGGTTGTTCTCTATCTGTGTAAAAGATAAGCTCACTCATCGGGCCGCCGCCATATGTATCTATCGGTTCACCCGCTCTTGTGTATTGTTGTCTAAATTTTTCTACGAAATAAAGTCTCTTTACTGAATATTGCGTTCTTTACATTGACTGGTGACAGAGAATAAAATATGTCAGGGTTCTTGGAGGTGATTTACTTTTGTTAACGACAGTCCTATTCATACCACCACATCAAATAGAATGAATCAATCGATGATAAAAGATAAACAGGTCAAGGTTGAGTGTATTTATCACAATTTGTCTCTAATGCGATAAAAATTGATAAAATAACATTAAAGAATTTCAAGTATCTGCCAACGTCGTAAATCTTCGTACAAATATACTCGACCACTGGTCATTCGCAAACTTGGCAGTGAATCAGGTAGTTTACATAGAGACTAAATTTATTATTCAGTTCTATGCAAACCTAATTAGATGGATGGGTATCCGAATCTATGAGACCTATATGTGAAAAAGGTGAGTGGAAGACATGAAAACGCTGGCTAGCTGTCTTTGATCATAATGCCTGCGTTTATGCAGGCAATATTGAGGTTAGGCATCGATCGAGTGCTAGGTGAGGAAGGGAAATCAATCGATAAGGTTGTGAATATTCATCGACTGAGATGGTTAGGACATGTGTTACGTATGCCTAGCCATCAATCGCCTTCCACGACAGTGGGAATGTTAGCTGACATAGGGTCAGGCTGGAAATAGAGAGCTGGTGGCGGTCAAAACAAAACATGGCTTCATCAGTCATTGAAATCCACAGTCAGTTTAAGCTAACCACGTAGGGAGATGTATAGTGCTAACTGGTTGGGGTCCTCGGGACGGTGAAAACCAATGAAGTCTGGAACAATTGGCGATATGGCTCAAAATCGTTCTCTCAATGGCTGGCCCAGATGCATCCACTCCTTATGACTTATAATTTCCAATCAAACTATATTGTTCTTCATTATTACTCTTCCTCTTGTCTCATATCTCTGTCAACTATCTCTATTTTGCATTTCTTCTACTTTCTTCTCTTGCTTTGTGTGCTACATGGAGGAGTGTGGCGAGTTGAACTGCTGCACGTCTGGTGCAAAGTTCTATGTTGAAAACAGACAGACAGACAGAAAAGGTGATTATTGATATAAATACTACTGAGGTTGTGGCTCTATACGCAAGACGTATCTTGGTAAATTCATGTGACACATTGACGAGTTGAACAGTGCCCTTGGGCTTAAAGTAAACGCAACTGGTCAGAACAAATGTGACGTTGTAGACGACAACTTTTCAGCTGGTGTGGATGGAAATATACATTAAGAAATCAGATGGCTTTTATTTTCAGTAAAACAAACGTTAACACACCGAAAACATGTAGATAATAAAAATTGCTGGACGCTCAGTAGTATGTTAGAAAGAATTTCTTCTTACTCCTCTCTTGAAAACTAAAAGTGCATTCCCTTAAAATCCTGGCATTTCTTCTCTTCTCATAATGCGGCAAGTACTAATATGAACCTCCAATGTCTTTTATTATTATTATTGTTCCCTTGGGTTTCGAATGATAAACAGGCTTTCAAAAACACGTATCAACTCTATCCTATTCCCTGAGGTCCTTTTTTCACTGGTCCCACTATTTCCCACAGTCTCTGATCTCCTCGTCACACGACCTTCGGACACACGCCCCACTTGTAGTTTCCCATTCAGGATCAACTTGAGAGCCTGGTGCGCGATGTCTTCTGACAGTCTCCTCAGAGTGTGTCCGATCCATCTCCACTTCCTTTGGAATATTTGTTGAGCAATAGGTATTTAGCTGTTTCGTTTCCAGAGTTTCCTGCTTGCTAATCCTTTCTCGCTAGCCATCAGGATCTTCAGTATGGAACCAGAGGTGGCAGATGAAGATAAAAACGTCTGCAGCAGACTGCTATCAATGCTTTCCATGACGCGTTACACTTCAGACCCATATATAGAAGCACTGACTTAACATGAGTTCTGAAAATCTGAATTTTGCTGTTTATGTCACAGAAGATTTCATAGCGATGCCGATATCTTTTAAACAATTCGCCCATTCGGAAAGCAAATTAGCTCTACTCTCTTTGCATTCATACTCAGTAAACAGAAAATGATGATCAAACAAATGTGAAATAATAAGAAAATAATAATAAACTTACCCAAATATCAAATTTTCCAGGATAAAGACGTTCAGGAATACGCAATGCATAAATTGCAGCCCCTGATATGTAGAGTACAGCCATTAGCACAAGCCAACCAAGCGCTGAATAACTGACACCCTCCCAAAAGCCTTCCATTAGAATATAATGTGTACACGGAATTATACCCGACAAACCGAGGGAAATGAATAAAACTAGATGGGAAGATATAAAAAAATATCATTAATTTTTTATCATTTGGTCAAACACAAACCTATTGGATATGAGTAAAAAAGGAGAACATTGGTTTCCGGTCATACAATTACGATGAAGAAATGTAGTTACTATGGTTGCATGCACGCATTGGTGGTGCGCGGTAGTAGAATGCTCTGACTGACTGGTTTCAACGTAGAACTTTGAACAAATGTGCAGCAGTTTGAGTCGCCACACTTCACACTTAGCACACAGACCAAGAAAAGAGAGTAAAGACAGATTCAAAAGAGAAATAATAAACAGAGATATGAGGCATAAAGAACAGTAATATACAACAATTTGTTTTATCGGATAAGTCGCAATGAGTGGATGCATCTGTGCCAGCCACTGAGAACGATTTTGACCCATACCACCAACTGTCTCCACTACAGACATCGGTTTTTACCACCCCGAGGACCCAAACCAGTCAGCAGTATACATATCTATATGTGGCTAGCTTAAACTGTTGTGGATTTCATTAACTGATGTCATGTTTTAGTTTGACTACCACTAGCTATATTCAAACCTGATCGTATATCAGCTAACGTCAGACTGGAAAAAAGCTAGCGGCGGTCAAACAAAAACTTGGCACCAGTCAATGAAATCCACAACAGTTGGTCTAAGCCACGTAGGAAGGTGTAGACTTCCTGGCTGGGGTCCTCGGGACGGTAAAAATCTATGGTTGGAAACAATTGGTGACATGGCTCAAAATCGTTCTCAGTGGCGCAGATGCATCCACTCCTTGTGACTTATCTCCAATGAAACTGTTTTGTTTTCGTTATTACTCCTTTTGTCTCACACCTCTACTCACTGTTTCTATTATGCTTTTCTTGTACTTTCTTCTCTTGCTTCGCGTGCTACACGGAGTGTGGCGACTTGAACTTCCGCACATTTGTGCAAAGTTCTATGTCGAAAACAGACAGACAGACAGCTAACGTCCACCGTCGAGGAAGGTAGTGGATAGCTAGGCATGCATAACACATGTCTTAACCATCCCAATTGATGTATCTTCACAACCTTGCCGATTGATTTTCTCTCTTCACCTAACACTCGACCGATGCCTCACCTCAATATTGCTCACCTTGCTGTACCACTTCACACGGAGATAGAACGCAGACACTTATGACAAAGACAGCTGGCCTTTCCATGTCTTCCACTTTCGATGGCCAGCCACAAAGGAGGACGGAGCGGACTGATGAGCAGTACACACGCCCTTTGGTCAACAGCCAGTCGGATATCACGTCTACTAAGCCAGAGATGGTGTAAGCTGGTATATGCCAAACGAGCCTTCCTTATCTGTGCTGAGATTTCGTCAGCGATCAACCCGTTGGCGTTGGCTGATGCAACTTCCCAAATAAGTGAAGAGGGCAACGCGCTCTACACCACTTTACTCCCCATCTCTAAACTATGAATCAATACAGTCCAGAATGCTCACCAACCACTAATGTGGTCAAGGGTTCAATCTCCGGTAGAAGCACTCCTAAGCTTCGATTAGTCAGTATGAAAAGTATAGTATTATAGAAGGAAGGTTGAGTATTAGGCTAATAACCCCACCCCACAAAAAGATAAACATTAAAGCTACTGAGACTTCAAAGCTCAATCTTAAAGCCCTATATGTTCGTTCTACTAGGAACATAAAAGAACAAGATAAATAAATAAATTTTCAAGTATTAGTTTGTATAGGAAATTTGTTTGATTGGTTGGAGGACTTCATCATCATCAACCAATGGAAAACCCGCAAGGAGTACTGAACAGCTGTTTCTTTCATCCCAGTTTGGGACTTTTCATCAGTATGCACCAACCAGGGTCCGAACCCGGTTTGTCAATGGTTCTCTAACTGATGTCAGCCGATGATGAAATCCTTCAACCAATCAAACAAAATCCCTACAAAACCAATAATTGAAAAAATTGATCTGATGCTCACCAGTGACTGACTCTATTCAAACAGTGATCTGGGATTCGAGTGGGAAGCCATGACCAGTAGGATACAACAGGTTGAAGGTGAGGTAGTAACTCACCTAATAAGACATCGCGCTATGTCATGAAATAAATAAAGTCCAGTGGCTCAATGGTCTACGAGCTCGTCTTGTAACCAGAAGGTCCTGGGTTCGAAAAGTGCCGGTGGGTGCGTACTCATGAAGAGTCCCAAACTAAGACGAAACAGTTGTCCAGTACTTTCAGGTCTTCCAATGGTTCTCTAACTAATGTCAGCTCATGATGAAATCCTGCAACCAACCAAATCACTACAAACCAACACTTGGAAGTAAATAAATATTGGTTGCGTATTGGTATACGAAAAACCCTATCAATAATAAGTCAAGCAAATACAGCTAGTTCTTAAATTACACACACAGGAAGTGAAGACACTCGTCATTTCGACCACGATTCTGAAGCTTAAAGAGGTCTTAACAAAATAAAATAATATGAACAGAAACTTCATATTTTTAGGATCAATATGTATTTTTTCAATTGGCATTATTCCACATCTGTCAACACTTAAGCCTTGTAAAATTGTCATTAAGAATCGTTAACTTGAAAGAGTTGAAATTCAATATGACCTATTCTTTCCCACACACATTAGAAGATTAAGGAGAATTAATTTTGTGAACGCTTTCCTGATCAACGTGAATGCAGTAGCCTTGTGTTAACCAACCAACATCTGATCTAATACAAATTAGCACGGATTGTATTTAATTATTTATTTAAACGCAGAAAAAACTTGGTACAATATGGCACCAAGAAAGATGCGCCACACAATAATAATAAAACAACATAGATCAAAAGTAAAAAAAGAAGGAAAAGAAAAAAATATAAGTAGAGAACGGATAAGAACTTTATCTGGAAGGAAAACAGTCATGCTTAACAAGTTCAAACAATATTCGTTAACTATCATCGGGAAGGGAAAAAAGAAGCAAATTGCAACACGTTCGCCATCGATTACGATTCTTGACCATATCCGATAACGTTTCGAGCCATCGATTCGAGCTATCTCAACCAGGAAGTCGTGACACACCAACCGGTGCCAATCTAGCACAAACATCCTTCATTCCACGACGCCACGTCATGGACTGACCACCCCTCCGCCTTTTCCATCCCGTCCCAGGGCTAGTGAACACAGACCTGTATGGAAGCCTCTGGAATGACATTCACAGCACACGTCCAAGCCACCAGAGCCAATGATTCCAATGAATGGTGATCTCCAGTGTGTTCAAACACACGCCGCCGAACCTCAGAATTACTCACGCGATGATGCCATCGAACGCCAGCAATCCTGTGGAGACAGAGATGATCGAACACGCAGAGTCGCCGAACATCCTTAGCCTACTCAGAGAGGCCAGGTTTCACGGGCGTAGAGCAGGGTAGCCCGCACCGAAGCATTGTATACCCGACCTTTTACAGCCAGCTAACGTCGCGACGGCGCCAGAGCTGGCTCAATTTGATGTATGCCACTCTAGCCTTCATCATACGGTTGGAAATCTCATCCGTCACCCCTCCGCCAGCACTCACCCAGATACACAAACTTATCAACAACTTCAAGTGGTTCACCCCCAAGAGTGAGTGCAGGTACAGGCTCCTGCCAATCTTGTAACAGTACTTTCACTTAGACGGCGCAAAGTACATACCATACTTACAGACACACACAGCACAGATTGAGGCTGCTCACAATTTAGGAGTTTTCCTGACAACTAGTCCATGATTTTTGACAGTAATGAAACTCTTGGAAGGCTAGATTTTATTGATTTGCGTTTCTCTTTTAGAGTAGCGCGAAAAAAAATAATAGAACATATCCAGAACACTACGCATAAACGTCTTTACATCACTAAATTTTAAAAAAAGAAACGTGTATATTTTCACAGTATAACTTACGTGCTCTAGCTACACGATACGCTGGACTAAGAAAATAATCTTGTGTACAAACAAAGGCGCAGATTGATCCAAGTATCAGCACAGCCGTAATATAAACAAATTTGAATGGTTTATGACAATAGAAAGAATAGTGAATCCAAGGGACAAACGAACCGATAACAAGTAGTGCAATCCCCATATAATCCAATCTAACGGGTAGATAATACCGAAAAAACAAACCCTCCATAGGTTATATTTGTTAAAATAAAGATACACTACTAGTGGAAAAATACATTGAAAATCTGGGAGTGAATATGAATTTAAAAAGTATAGTGGTCTAAATTTATGATGCGGTTAGTTTGAAGAGTATTTCTACGCTTACTAGCGACCTGCCCTATTCATGTAGGTAGTAGTTACCTGGGGTTCTAGTGATAAGTCGTGATCACTAGAGTGCAGCAGGTCGAGTGTGAGGACAAATACTCGCCAGAGATGAAATTGGTTAGCGGTTGCCCTATGTCGTGAATTGAAAGAAGTTGGAATTCATGGATCACTGGATCGGGTCCCAGTGGCTGAATAGTCTACGAGCTCGTTAGCCTTGTAACCAGAAGGCCGTGGGTTCGAACCCTGTCGGTGGGTATGTACTGATGAAGAATCTCAAACTAGAACGAAACAGTTGTCCAGTGCTCCCTTCAAGCATTTCAATGGTTCTCTAACTAATGTCAGCCTATGATGAAATCCTTTAACCAAAGAAACAATTAATTTTATGAGTAGTGAATGAGTATATGAATAAGGAAAAAGCTGTGAAAGGTAGAAAAACCCATCGATACAATGTATGCTTACAAAATCGGCACAGCATTGGAGAGTTAGTCTTCACAGATGTAAAATAACTATGCGTTTCAAGCAGATAAACATGAAAAGTTATTAAGTGGCACTAAATAATTGCTCAGTAAATATACATATATAAGTGATAAGAATAACGGTAATTAAAATGTTATAAGGGGTAGAGTTGAAGTGGATGAATTACAAAATTATTAAAGATTGTTTTATAAGTGAATTAATAACAAAAATATTTTTTTAATGTCAAGCATTGTCTAAAAATTTTAAAAATTAGGAGTACGATTACGATAAGAATGAAGATGTGAAGTGAAGTGGAATGAATTCAAGTGGTAAAATAAAATAAAAACTAGAAAGAACATTACTGTGACCAAGGTAAAGAAAAGGGTTTGACAAAACGTTTTTGAACACAAAATTTAGGTTTCTGTTCACGTATAGCTAAAGCTTCGGCTATGCATAAGTGAAGAAATCGTAAACTTTTTGAGCGATTCGATTTTGCCATGTAGATAACTTTGAAAGATGAATCAAGTGGGGCTAAATCACCAGACTCTAACAGGTGATCACAAATAGACGACTTCGCAGTTCTACGTTCGCCTTTTATTAACCAAACCGGATAGTGTTCAGCAACACGTTTTCGGAGATTACGCTTACAACATTCAATATAATCAGCTCCACAAGAGCAGGTAAATGAGCAAATGCACATAGATGTGGACAAAAGCGGTAATCTATCCTTGACACGTTGTCTAATCATGTTTCGGCTGGTAAAAACTAGTTGCAAGTCAGCTGCAGGAAAAGTGCGTTTATTATTATTGTTCCCTTGGGTTTCTAGTGCACGTCTCCACTTGCTTCTGTCTTCTGCTGTGCTTTTCACCTGCATCCATGTTAGTCCATACTAATTCAGCCCTCTTCAAACGATCTCCTCCATGTCACCCTTGGACGTCCCATTCACCGCTTCCCTTTCAGGTTCCACTCGAGCAATGGCCTGACGTGCGATGTCACCCAGCGGCCTCCTCAGCGAGTGTCCAATCCATCTCCGCTTTATCCTGCATATTTGTTGGCTGGCGATTGGTTCTTGTTTTGTTTAAATAAACGATTTTTAATCAATTCAGAAATGGTGTCACCTTTGAATGCAAGACTCATAAACAGCTTTTCCTTTGGTACTGTGATTTGTCTAGGGGCGGATTCTTTGTTGGTCTTACGTCCGATAAACTTTGTAGGATATCCATTGTTAAGAGATTTGATCGGTTATCTAGTTCACTACCGATTGTCTGTGTAGTGCAGATTTTACGAATTCTCGAGCATAAGGTATGAATAAGATTTCTCTTTCTCCCTAAAGGTATCCAACTATTGAAGTTAGTGTACTGCCCTGTGAATGTTGGCATTCGGTAAATCAACCTTAACAACGTGCCATTCTCTCTTCTATCTAGCTTAACGTCAAGGAAGTGAAACGAGGAATTCGACTCTTCTTCGATCGTGAAACGCAAAGATGGGTGAGAACCATTAAATATTCCAAGCAGTTCGGCAGTTGAAGAGTTTTCCTCACGACAATAAAGGTATCATTTATACATCCTTTATACATAAACAAGCTCTCGATGGTTTCCTTTAGTGGTTCGTTCTCTAAGCTTGCCATGAAGACATCCGCTAAGAGCGGTCCTAAAGAGACCCATGGTGACTCCATCTCTTTGATTGTAGATGACTTCATTAAATCTAAGCTCCCACCTTTAGGATAGGTGAATCAAGTAGAGGGTGGTACCATGTGTGACAAAGAAATGGAAATCACATAGTTAGAAGTGATAAAAACGAACACTGCATTGGAGTGATGCGGTTTAGAACAATGGTGGTCAGGTTTTACGGATCAATATAATGTTATGGTTTTAGACTAGATAGAATGTGCCAACTAATACTGGATATGTCTCATTGGGGACCTATATTTTAAAATTGATTGCAGTTTTGAAGTTTAGGTCGTATTGTTAGCTCCTTTTCTCACTTTTTTCAAATAGAAACATACGCACACACGCACTGATGAACACACACAGAAGGGTGTGATCCACAAAACTAATACATAAACCTTTTGGCAAGAGTAAACAATAGACACCAAAGTCAAATGACCTTTATTTGACCAATCATCTGGCTCAGTATTACGAGTGGTTGCTAGTCACAATCCTCGTTGAAAATGTCTCCTAGATTTGGTTTTTGACTTCTCTGTGGAAAATGTATTGATAGGGTGGAGTAAGCATGCATATGTGAAGGGATGTCTGTGCAAAAGTATTGCAGGGCTATTGATGGTTTTACACTTAGATGCAAATACTATATGAGGGTCTGTATAATTTGGTAAGTCGTACATAATTGGTGATTTTTTAGACACTTTCTTCCAGAAATCAAAGCTCTCCCTTAGTAATGCATTACGTATATGCACCCGTATCTGCTGTAGCTGGAGAAATAGAGAATACATTGTTTTGATATGTCTATAACCACTTCTATGAGAATCTGGGACCAGTTTTTGCAGCGTATTGGAGATATATACCTTATATGATTCATTTTTATCATATATATATAAGTATATCGTAGATACACTTCTTTATAAATTAAGTACCACTTTCCACCTAGAATAATCTGATTGGCTATTTCAAGGTGGTCTGGTGTTAGTGTTTATTCTTTACTGTTGCCAAACTTTTTATACGTCCCCATTAGGTAAAAAATGTAGTGTTTAAGATGACTCTATGACACAAAAACCACTATTATGATATAAGTGAGTTACACAACATAACGTTCATATACGCCCCCATTTGCTTCCACCTATAATAATTTTTTTTATAATTATTGAGACGTTTGAGTTGAAAATAGTCACTAAAATATAACAGAAATGTCAGTCACTAGCACACTAAGCAAGTAGTTTAATTTCACAGATATAACATACTTATAACATCAAAGATAATGAACCTTTTTTACACACAACCACCTAATAATTCATCATCACAATTTGTAAAATGAAAACGCGGATCAGATAGCAATAGTGTACTAACACACTTTCGGACGTTCACATATTGATCAACTTAAATGACTGAATCAAGCATGTTCAAAGCAAATGGAGAGGATATTATCATCATCATCATCAATGAACGAACATTTCTATTCTCTTTTAATTTAATCCATAAAATGGTTACTTTTTAATGTAATCGACAGATAATTGAAACTTTCTCCAAAACTGAATGACACTACAAACTACGGCCGATTAATAAAAATCAAGACAGTGCATTTCAAGACAATGACAAACGAACAGTGACAAACGAATTCCCTCCAATAAACCAAAATTTATTTGCAAATCAAAGAGAACAAGACGAAAATTCACAATGGTATCCTGTGAGAACCTTGAGTATTAACAAGCTAATATATTCTATATACAACAATCGAAATAGCAAGTCAAAATACCACTGATTGATAAGAGCAGTTGCGATCCTCTGAAATCAACCAGTAGAGCTTACTAGATAGATGACCTCAACTCAAAACAAGCGAGATGATGTCTACACAAATATACTGTAGATTTTTTACTATTTCGCCTTTCTTGAGTGTCAATCATAGGTTGGAAGTGAGTGGCTCAGTACCGAGCTGTGAACCATACCTACTGCGTGAGGGCTGGTGATATTAACCAGTTACCCAAGCTGAAGTAAGCAGAGTGAGATTCGAACCCTAAACCCATTGGCTACAAATCAGGTGCATAAGCCAATGACCCACACACCCCAAAGATCGCCAATCCCAGTATCAGGCAGACCAAACGATTGACTGCTGACACGATCTCCACATATACATCAAAGATTCCTTCAAAATTTGCCTAATCACCCCAAAATGACATCAGGTTGTTAATCAGTTAGCTTCGACCTGATAAAAGTATGACATCAGTCTAGGCAATCTGTGACTACTGGCGTGAAACAAGTGAGGCCTAAAATAACCCGGTTTATGTTAGCGTTTGCAGACCACCGTTGGTGACGGCTAAAAATCGTTCACAATACTTATGGACTTCCAGATCCTGAAAGTCCTCAGAACTTTTCATCTAATTACTCTTCCTCCCGCATGTATCCGTTCACTGCGTTACTCCGTTACACATGTCCATCCTTTTTCCTACTTTTCATATGCTTCTTTGACGTGTGGCAGCTTGAACTGCTGTAGTTTTGCGCACAGTTATATGTTCATAGGTCAGTCAGTCAGTCAATCAGCCAGAATCCAGGTATGAAGTGATTCGCTTCTCTGAGCTGAATCAACTCGTATTCACCACCAGTGAGCCCAGACCAAATTTAAATGATACGGTTGTCGGAGAGTTGCATCACTGGGGGGAAGGTAAGGTAATAGAGATGAAGATGAAGACAAAGATAAGTGAGGATTAGAGAGGTTTTGTGTGCGTTTTGGATTGTGAGGGCGATTGTTACTTCCCGGCTGCCCACACCGTGGAAGTTGGTTGCGTGACCGCAGAGCCAGGGGACAACTGCTTGTGGCCGGTCACACGCGGCCTATTTTTGTTCGTTCTTTGTTGTTTTGTGTGCCTCAGTAGCATACTTATCACTCCCGCCCTGTGACACGGCAGCAGGAAGCGCGGTCGTTGTTAATCCGGGCCACGGCCGATCAGGCATGAAATTTTGTGAATTTGTTTGGATCATGGTATTGGATGAGGTAGCTGCTTTTTGTTTAACCGCTATCCAAACAACCTGCCTGGCATGGTAGAACCTCAAGAGACATAAGTCTCAGCCAGTATAGCTTGATTAGGTCATTGCGCTGTTCAAGCCCGACCACCACGTCAAGGTAGCAGCTTTCGGTCGGGACTTGTCGGATGTTTGGACCAAGTCGATTAAACTAGCAAATACTACTAATGTTTAAGATGTGGCTTCTGACTACTCACGTACTTTGTTTTTTTAAACTAATTAAGCGCACTGAGTATTAATATAAGACAATTCTTAGAAAGCTTGTTACACCAAATATCTTGGTAGTAGTCTAATAATAAAAAATTCAGATCTAGTAATCATAGGATGTCCTCCAAAATGCATATCGGTTGCCCAAGAAACAATAATTTGTTAGCTGTACTCTGCTTTTATTTTTTTATTTATTTCCTCCACGTTCCCAGTGGAACATAGGGCTTCAAGCTGGAGGCTTGAATTTTTTGTAGCCATGTTTATTTTTACAGGATGGGGTTGCTAGCCTCATGCACAACCTTCCCTCTTTACCAGTCTTATAACTGGATAAGTGAGGTAAAGGAGTGTGTCGGCCGGTGATCAAACCCCGGATCATGTGCATTGTCGGCGAGCATGCTAACCGCTGGGACACCGACTCACTAATATTGCTGATGAAGATTTAAAGGGAATGATGCTTTTATTTTGAATAAAATGACCAATTGGATACAAGACAAAAAGTAAAGTAAGTATTCATAGTTAAGATGAGTGAAATCCCTGACACATACACTTAATATGATCAAACCTTGATGGTTATCACAGCTAACTTCCTCCCTCACTAATTGAACTTTTCCTCTATCATGTATTTAGATGACCACAAAACGCTACCGAGTAAACATATCCACGTTTACACACTAAACCACAGATGTATGCTATTGTATAAGAACAAATACTAAACAGTTGCTTAAGTTCAAAAGCAAAATCATCTGGTAGGAGGCTAAAAGTATGCTTCAATGGGTTCTAGTTTATGAAACTTGAGTCATTAAACAAATTGCTTCACCTTGATTGGACACCAAAAAGTTTTATGTGCCTAGCCGTTTATTTGTAGATTCAACCATATTAGTCGAGTTTGCAATGCGCTTAACTATGCTAGGTGGCTTACTGACGATCCCCCCTAACCATCTAATAAATTTTTTTCACATTCAGGCTCATGATCATGGGATCAACACATATAAACACATCAGGTATCCATAAAAATGGACAATATTCTTATTACTTACTTATTAAATAATTTACCGACACGCTCTGAATGACAATAAACAGTATGAAATAGCCAGGAAAAACCAAGTGCAAGGATTGCACTGACGAAAAACACTTGGACAACCATTTTTTCCTGCCAATGAATATCTAATCCAGGACGAACCAAAAATGATATACTTAGTATCAGAAAGCATATGAAACCTGGAAGAAAAGAAAATATTTCAACAAATATGTGAAAGTCAAAATGAAGAAAGATTAATTTAAGTGGATAATTATCCTCAGACCTGTCCTGGCTAATTTAAAGTCGCTAGAACTTACGCTTCAGTGCAGTTTAAAATATGCAGATCGTGTGGTTTTTTGCTTTCATTTTGTTTTTTGTTTATAATGACGCCACAGAGAAGGCGATCCATAAAACTAATTCAGCTTCATAAGTCATACTTGGAACTATCGACAGATGAATTTTGAGACTAGCCATAAACTTTAAATGTGTGAGAATTTACTTATATTTTCCTTTATTAATTTATCTGACATTAGTTGGTGTAGTCTAATTATTCTATTATATATTCCATACCATACAAAAGTCACCCCGATCAAAAGCATTTTATACTGAACACATTCAAAGTAAAAAGTCAAGTTTACAGAACAGTTGTACGTTTTCAGCAATAGATTGTTTGCGGATTTTGACCCAAACAATTACAGACTGATATAGAGTCTACCTGACAAAATCAGCACAATGTATAATTTGGTTTGTGTAGTTTAACATTTTAATTGTGGCCAGTGACTCGCCTACGTTGATTTGTATTGTATGAACTCATCACAAAGATTATTGCTATGACGATTCGACTACGAAATTGGTATACCTATTCTTGAAAACGCCAGTTTTAAGACAATGCTTTTTTCTTTCTACTTTTTTCTGTGGAACACAGAGCTCTCTCAAAATTTTCTAAGGTGACCTTTTACTGTAGAGCGATGGGGTCTGCCAGATTTACCAACGTGGATGGTTTACGTTTTCTTAGGAGCTTAACATGATAGACTGACATTATTCGAATGCATACCATACATAAGTACACATTGACTGGTTGGAAAATCCAATTCAATGTTAAGGTGACACATGGATAAAGATGATGGTAACTTGCCTATAAGATGCGTCCATATATTCCCTGTTTCTGTATGTAATCGGAAAATGGAACGAAAGCACTCGCGAAATGAACGAAGTTGAGGTCGATGACCACGCAGAAGGAAGTCATTGTCCTTTAACCAGTGGGGTAAACTATGATGGTGAACAACTTTCCAACCCTGTTTCCAGAGATGTATAACAAGTTCTTCTGCATGTTCCACAGCTCTACTAGCAGCTTCCCCAATCTCGTGAGCAGCATACGTGAAGTAATCACCACCATAGCTTGCAGATCGACGATGAGAAGACAGTGGAGAATGATTTGCTTTTAAAACGCTCAGAGACTTCAAGTCAGAAACAGAAGAATTTATGTCCCACGGCTGTTGTGCGGCAGAAGTACTCGTGGTCGACTGACTTGAAGAATCACTAAAAAGACAGAAATCTGGGAATTTCCGCCGCCTAACCCCAGACTGAGATATCCAGTCAACAGTTGGTTTGTTTCCTGTCAGAGACTCGCATGAAGGTGATGAATTAAAGCGAGCAGATCCTTCGGAATGCATACGCCGATGTTTACCACGCATACTTTGCTTCTCAATCTAACGGGTGAATCAAAATCTTGAGACAGGTTAAAACTACGTACCTGTTCAGAACATAAGTGGCGAAGGTTTCCTGGGGAATTTTCTGGTAACTTCAATTGACCATCCATCATAAAGCAGAAATACGCGAAAAAGCCGCCAAAGTCAGCTGATTGTGGTCATATGAATGTAATGATATGCATGACTCAACATAACAAAATGCATAAATCAAATCACAGCTGTTTCACAATTCAGTTTGGGGCTTTAGTGACTTATGATTTGTGCGTCGGTGGCACAGTGGTTAGGACTCTCGCCGACCATGCACATGGTCCGGGTTCGAGCCCACGCCGACGCACACCTGATATCTATGGTCGGCCTGCGAAATTTGGGCTACCGATATCCATTCTGAAAATTCCATACTTGTACCAAAAATACGGTGTGGAATCAAGCTGTAATCAAAAATTAAAAAATAAGTACTCCACAAATGATCAGCAACGAGGATGAATGCAAAGAAGAAACTGCAAGACATGTAACACCGCAAACTAGAACAAATCTCGAGTTGATATGGGTGAGCAAATAAATGTGATCCCACTTACACCCAATATAAAAAGCCACTAGGAGCTACCGCTGCTCTGAAATTTTAATTTTATGACATCCAGGCAGGAACCGGTTGTTTCCCTTTACATCAGATTCAGATTTATTGGTTAAGGATAGTAGGCTTGGAGCCTATGTTAATCCCTTTCTAGTAAACTTTTGCTCTTGTGCAAACCATTCTTGAATGAATCAGTTGAGGTTGCAGACACCACTTCTTCTGGAATTCGATTCCAGGAGTTTATGATTTGGCATAAGAATCATTACTCCGCAGCAATATGGTTTCTCCTTGGCTTTTGAACTATCCTGTTATATTTTCTAAGGTGTGTGGAGTCCTCAGAAATAAACTTATCCAATTTTTACTACTACGTAAGAAATGAACATATTGTACATTACTTTGTTTAAACCATAAACTCTGTACTTTGACCTTTACCTCCGGTTTCGAAAAAATATATAGTTCTGCCTCCGACTCTCCGTCTTCTCTACCATCCCAACTGCCATCGATCAATTCTAACCACCTGCTTTCTATCTCAAATTTTCGCAGGAACACCGTAGTTTCTTCCTACGTACTTTGGTCGACCTCCGGAAACGTCAACATTGGAGAATTAGTATTGGAGCAGTCTTCCCGTAGTATCTCCGGAGTCTATTACGTTTATTGTGGATTTTGGATCTTTCTAAACCCAAGTAACGAAACTTTAATATATTCTTCCCATAACTAAACTGATTTGGTATTTTATATTCTGTTTGAATTTGGGATACTACGCTAACAGAGTAAAAGGTCCACCACAGGTGTTCCGACCTGTTGGAAAGGAGAAGACAAAATAGTTTAGGTCCGTGGACACTATTGAAAATTTTAAATATTTTAATTAAATCTCCTCTCGGCCTACGGTATGACAGGGGGAAAAGATTTAAACTACCTGGTCTTTCCTCTCATGATAAATTGGTCATGCCGAGAATCATACGTGCTACCTTCCTTTGAACCCTTTCTCGAATATGTGAGTCCTCTTTGCAACAAGAACTAGCCGCCTGGATACTGTTTTTCAATCTTGATTTCACCAGAGATGTACATAAGGAGGTGGAAATACCCCTGGTGATTCACTGAAGCCTGGTGCATAAGTGAAACCTCCAATGAAAGCCTAAGGATTGATAAATACAACCTATTTCGAGGGGAGACAGGCTATGCACGGTGGAACACTAACTTACTGTGAACAATCCATGTGTGCAACCCGGTTCAGTAACTCAATTCTGCAACAACTCAACGACTCGATCTGGGTCAGGATAAAAGTTATCAGAAGTAAATCTATACTTGTCATCCAGCAGGGAACATGATAATATGCTCAGCAACATTTTTAATGTCACAGACAATCTTCCTTTCAGTTATAAAATTATGGAAGGTGATTTCAATATACCAGAAGTATCATGGTCTTCACTCCGAGGACCTCAAAGGTACGATAATCTTCTGAATTCCATCGTCACAGGAGGGTGGGCATAACACATAAATTCACCCACTAGATCTGCAAATATCCCAGACCTTATTTTCACGAACAACATAACACCATCTACAGTACATGTGGGACATGAATTTCCAGTTAGTGACTATAAAATAGTTGTCAATCAAGTCTCATAAACCGTTAATGCCCAGCTCTCGCTACGCTCGGGCCCACGCTGTTCCTTGAAGATTTCAGAAACGCTTAGTTATAACGGACGCAAAAACCAAAACACCGATCTGCCGCTTGATATTTCTTTATTGTTACACCAACATATAAAAAGAATAAGTGAACTAAGGTCTGAAAACAAATATTACAATAATAAATCATTGTATTACTTCTGACGATGTTTCACTCTTCTTTCTGAACAGCGACCGATGAGACGATGACTGTCGTATTGATGCCTCCGCGAAAATTGGGGAAGTTGATTTTGAGCAAACAACCAAGAATTGATCGTTCAATCTTCAACTCCATTGACACTCCCCGGCAAAAAAGGGATCCAACCCTTTTTTCCTTCACGACCAATGCACGTTGACTTGGATGCCATTGCGAGAACCTGGGTCACACGGACAGAGCTGAAATGGAAAACAAACAGAAAAGCCAACACACCACAAGCATACCCACAGCACAATCTCACACATCGCTGACGACCTGCGCCTCCAGACAGAGACCTCCTCTTGACATCTTGCAACACAATCGCCACTTGCTAGAATGACTCTTGCAGAATGCAAAGTGACCATGGCAGCACCTCATGATACTCTACGCACATCCTCTTATCTACTCATTACCAATTACCACTGAAATCGCTTGTCACTCATTCTGCCTCAGTTCTAGTAGCGGTGACGCATGCGAGCCTCAGTCGTTTACACTCTTTCTCCCCGGCGTGTCGGACCGCAGCTAACAATTATCTCCGTGTGCATTTCATTCTCAGCAATAGCCTCCCCGGCGTATACGACCCATCTGCTGTCCTTAACATCAATCAATTCATTCATGGATGTAGAAGACTCGAAACAACTTCAGAAGTAATCACGACGAAAATTTTAACAAAATTACGCAATAACAACAAGATACGAAAACAACGAGTAAACACAATGAATCCAAAAACACCAATTGATATGACACACCACACGTATATACAAATAGTACAAACAACCTCGCGATCATGTCTTGGTGGAATTCCTTTGAAGAATTGCAGGACTTACACCAGTACGCCTACAACCCTTCTCAGGTTGACGATTGTAATTTGTGGAATGTCCGGACACAAACAAGATTAACCAACAATTGCATAATTGGAACTCACACAACTATTTAACACAAACATATGTACAATCACACATCAAATGTTGTGGATTCGGCATGACAAACTACCCTTGAAGAACTGTAGGACTTACAGCAGTACGCCTACAACCCTTCTCAGGTTGACGCTCTAGGTTGGAAAATCGTCGCAGAGTTCATTTGCTAACTTCCTTCTATCAGCTATATCCTCAAATCTGAACGGCAACACGCCCATGTCATTGTATCGTAGAATATAGATGACCAACAAACACACGACATATCTCATCAACCAAGTGTAGAAACAGAGTAATTTACACCAAAGATAATAACATTCAAATAGTAACTTGAAACTAGAAATGCCTTTATTCGTGCAAGTCAATTTAACAATTACTCTCTCGTTTACACTTGGCTTATCCTCACTAAACTGACCATTGATATTCGTCCTTTCAAACGAACTGATACTAGCATAGTCATTGCACAAGATACTTGAGTTGATGGGCTCTGTTTCATTGTGGATGACAGCACCAACGACGACTGATTGATATCAGTTGATGAAGTTAGCGGTGGATCAAAAGCTGTTGTTGCTCGGCTTTCAGATAGTTGTCTACCTGCAAGACCACCACCACTGCTGTCTTTTACTATCAGCTCAGGTTTAGCACTAGCATCTGATGATAGGTGGGCTACATGCTGATCAATTACACTGACGGTCTCACAAGTATGCATGCCTTCTGCAACTGCATCTGCATTTATTTCTACTTCACGTTGTAGTTGTACAGAACCTTTATTTAACTTAGCAGTAGTAGGCATTCCCTCATTCATCATGATCAACCAAAGACAAATCTGCACTATCATGATCATTATCACAAATATTCAATTTACCGTCAAGTTCATCATTTTCAAACTCTTTAATAACAGAAGTAGACAATTTTGGTTCCTCCTCACAAATCATTAAAGGTTTTATATCTTCACTCTGACTAGTTATACTTTGTAAACTTTTGGAGTCAGAACTGCACTCTGAAGCAGTAACTCTATTCTGTGACACTCTATTCAACAATGGCTTACCAGTTGCAACTACAGACTTCTTCACCGCACCGTTATCGTCACACAATTCGGAGTCAGGCCTGGAGTTTACATTTAGCTTATCACTGAACTTGCTCACTGGTTCACAGTTCACTTCTGTATGCACCTCTTGCAAACGTGTAAAACACAACCGTGTTTGTCTTGCATCTTGTAACTTATCTGTTGAGGATGTACTACGAAACCTGTTACACTCACTAGGTCTATATGCATTACTAGACATCATGGAGCCTTCTCGATATCCACCTCTCTGAGGCCTACTCGTCATCAATGATTGCGTTTTCCCTCAGACTGCTCTATTCTAGGGGTGAGATGTAATAGACTGGCGAACTTGCTCATAGATTGATTGACACTAGTATTTACCAGTTTCAGGATATCATCAAACTTTGGCTCGATACCCTCATCCTCCATACGGGAGCTCATCTTCACCCACTTCCTTTGCAGTCGAGTAGGTAGACGTCTTGCTATTACTTCTAGTATAAAACTCGAGTTGAGGTCACTCATGCGATTCATCGAAATCATTCCATTCTTGTAAATTAGCAAATTATCTAAAAACTCAGTGAGTGCCTGGGAGTCATCCTGTAATTGACCACCATTACCCTTAACAGCCTCGAATAATTTCCCTGCAATCATCGAAGGTCTTCCAAACCTTTGACGTAATATGCTCATAGCCTCGTAGTAGCCCTCTTTTGGCTTCATAAACTTACAGCACTGTATAGCTCTTGCAGCATCTCCAGTGCAATATCTCATCAAATACATTAACTTCAATT